AGGCATTAATAGGTAAATATCGCAGAGATCCCAGTTAATTGACCTGAATACATATCAAGTTCAGGGGCCTTGTTAAGGATATCGCAATGAGGTGGGCATTTTTTGTAGTTCAAGGCAAATAAAGGTCATTAGGCTCAAGAGTTATGCTCATGAACTATTGGGCTCACAACATAGAGGCCCTGTCGCGATGCGGGCTTATACCTAAAAAGTACTATGGCAAAAATAAAGCATATTCTAGGCAAGAAAATGGTTAACGAATCGACATTTAAGTGACCCGGAAGTATCATAGGGAAGAGATAACCTAATTAGGATATATATATATATGTATATGTATATACACAACACTATATTGCGACTATTAAGAAGGTAAGTAAAATGCTTTGTTTACATCACGTCATAGTAGCTATAACATATTGATGTTGTTGGTTACAATCCCTGAGGGGTCTCTTCTACAATGGCAAACGAGGTCAAGTGAAAATATCAAAGTTTATTAAGAGAAATGCTCTAATAAGTGCTTTAAGTGTATGCATTGAAAAAGATGTCCAATAAAGCCTATTTTATACTGTACGATCAATTATATTTTTTTCGTGATACAGTGATCAGGCATCAGTATTTTTTAGTCAAAATGAAATGTTTAAATGGGGAGTATCAGGCAGATGAAGACTAAGTATATGTATAGCGATCTTCTGTTAGTCTATCCGCAGATTACGGCTTTTTCCGCATAAAGTGTATACTCGTCAGGTATGCAGTTTTCACATGGTTTAAAAGGTGGTAAAAAGCCTTTAGAAGAGAATTACTTCTACAATTATAAGTTGAAGGCCGTTATTTACCAAATGGCTAGAATAAATGGAGAGGAAAAAGGCATTTATATGTAAAGGGAGGTAGCATCTATGGCGATATTAAATAAAGAATGTGTCGCTCACCGAATCTCGCCGGCATCGCGGTGGCATAAGCCATTTGTGCAGCAGCTGTCAAATCCTCGAAAGTGAAGGTGGTGAACTGTGTAGCCGACTGCTCTGGCGACCGGGTACTAACGAAGACCGGCTGCTGCTGCAAAGCTTGTTGCACCAGAGGCGGTGGCTGCTGATGGTGCGGCTGTTGTTGATGCATATGAAGAGGGTGAAGTGAATGGGGTGCCTGCAAATGATGTTGATGCCGAAGTTGATGATGCTGTTGATGTTGTTGAATGTGCTGACGCCCAGGTTGTTGCACTTGAGCAAGAGCCTGAAGATGTTGATGCTGCTGTTGAAATTGTTTTTGCTGCAGTGAATGTGATTGCGGTAACGAAAGTGGCAAAGTAGAGGCAAAAAGAGGGGCTGTTCCAGCCGACGACTCAGCTCCGGCTCCGTGTGCAGCTCCGGCACTGGGTGCAGGCAACAAGCCAGTCACTGGTGCGCTGGGCCCGGGAGCTGGGACAAGATGATAGAAGAGGCCAGTTGGCAGGCCGTCAGTGGGAGACAAATAGCTTCCGGATAAGTAACCGGGTGGAGGACCGGACGAAAGGAAGCCGGAGGGCTGCGGAGCGAGCGTGCCTAGCTCGGGTCCGGCGGACCCAGGCCTAGCGCCGAGGCTCGGCCTCAAGTGAGCGAGGCTTCCGCCTCCAACATGGCCGCCTGCCAGTATGTCGAGTGCAGGGGTGGCCGTGGAGCCTGGCCAAGAGACAGGGGGTGGACAAGTGGGCTGGCAAGTGGCAATCGGAGGAGGCTGTGCGTGAGGCATGAGACCGGTACCCAGCCCTGAAGGAAGAGAATGAGCAGCAGGCTGAAGCATGGATGTTGAACCAGGTGTGCCTCCGGCGACAGCGGCAGCCATTGCTGCCGCAAGCAACTGGTTGTCTGGTAGAAGACTACTTCCGGACGGACTGGGAGCAAGAACAAGGCCCGTCGGTGGCTGTGCTCCGGAAGGCAATCCTGCGGTTCCAGATGGCGCCGTCTATCCGGAAAAGAATTAAGCCAAAACCACCGGGGACGAAAGATGCAGAGGGGTCAGAAACAGGTTTCACAGAGGTGGATTGATGCATAAAATGGCTGAATGCGATCGGAAAACGCAATATACTCAAGTGTATATGGGGACGCATATTTTTGTGAAAATGTATAAATGTGCACCAAAGTATGAACGTTTGCAAGAGCATACAAGAAAAAATTATCAAGTATAATGCAACTTTCAGGACCCAAATGACGTTTTACACAATGAGAGTAGCAATTAAAAAGTCTCAGGACGAGCCTAATAAGAGAATACAAAAACTAATATGAGAAGAAACCGGTAAAATAATAGTGACATCGAGATTTATATTTAGGCGAATAATGCTAGAATAACCATAGAAAAAAAATAGTTAATTTATATACACAAAAAAAGTACTTCTTAATGAATCTCTTGATGCATTCTAACATCTCAAATTAAATAAGTGAGCTCAACAACCAGCGTGAGTTAAGAATTGAAGCGTATATAGCTAAGCATCCAATTCTGGAAAGTTTAACGTCAAACTATTCAAGTGGTTTGAGTCGTCATTAGTGAAAAAAAATAGAAAAAGGAGAAGCCGTGTAATTCATTGTGTAGCACTTAACACAAATTAGGTAAAAGCTACAAGAAAGTTCTCTTCAATA